CAAATACTCTGTAGCCAACCTCTCCTTCTCTACTAGGAGGAACATATCTCGCATAGAACATATCTGAAAACTACTCCCACGACACTGCAACTCTCTTCTCAAGAGTGTAAGCACCAATCACCATTATCCACTAATGCTTATCGCCTAACATGAGAAGGTTCACGGCGTACTTGACCTTCTAGTCATCCAGACTAGAACACATGAAGAAATAACCCTCCACATACGATAACCATCTGATTGCCACAATTGGGTCCAAGAACCAACCAAACTCTGAGGGGCTTCGTATTGTCGAAGTCCTTGTACCGGAAAGCTCTCGCTCCTCGAACCCTAATGGGAGTAACATCCGTGGTAGCTGCAACAATAACAAGCTCAAAAAGTGCAACATAACAATCATAAAATAGCTCAATCATGGAGGTCTTGACCAACTCAAACAATTCTAGAGTAACCTCCCTGATCGTAAAAACCACTTCTGCATAAATGATCCCATGAATCTCCTCATCACTCAGACCTGCTCTGCCAGTGCCATCAGCTCCTAATCTTGAACCTTCAATAGCCGCCATACCGAAAATACATCATGGAAACATCACACATCCATAATACAGTTCTCGACACACCAGGTTCTACTCCATTTATTTCCTTAGTGTCCTTGAAATTCCTCCTGAATCTCATGCAGATTCTCTACTTCAGTAGTACATGCCCATATTAACTTCCACACCTATCCGTAGTCGATTCAGAATTCATCCCAAGGTCCTAAGTAACTACACTAGACCACCCCTAGGTGTGCTAACACCCACTTCTCTTGCAAGCTATAATTAACTTATTAGGCACTCCTCCTAGGTTTAGCCTCGCTCCCGCACTATTGGTTGCTTTTGTGAATGCTTTTTGTACACAATACGAGATCAGATAGACTATCGAATTATCGACTCTTCCCCAAGTCCACAACCAAATAAGGAACAGGATGTAAGGATAAGTCGATCATTCTAAGGCTATTCAATCTCAACCATATAGAACTAATCAACATACATGCAACAATTACAAATCAAGTAATATATACTAGGAAAGCAACTCCCTATATCATAAAGCATCATAGAAATCAAGCATTTCTATACAATAGTTTCTAACGAACATTATCCACTAGCATGTTTTTTTAACAATTAATATATTAGTAAAATCAAAATCAGCAAACATAACAAGTATGAGTATTTTAGGAACCACAAAATCAAACTCAACAAACATAACAAGTAAGAGTATTTTGGGAACCACTCCTATGTTTGGGCTCTGGCTGATTGTACACACTGCATCATCCTGTAAAACTAAAGTTAGATCAAGGTCTACGTTCCCGATCCCAAGCCAACAATCTTACAAGAACATGACAAGAGCCGAGCCTATATCCTTAACACAAGTATTTTATTATAAATTCTTATAAAAAAACATTTTTAAAAACGCTTGGATCAATGTTTGAGACTAGATTCACACAAGTGTTCCTCCAATCCCAAGCCAATAATCAAACAAGAACATGACAAGAAACTGAGCCCTTGTCCTTAACCTAATCCTTTTCTTATAAATTATTTTTCAAAAACATTTTGCAAAAACTATCAAATCAATGTTTGAGGTTGGATACACACAAGTGTTCCTCAACTAAGGCTCTGATACCAACTTGTAACGTCCCATTTTTCACAACCAAAATATTTCATTTTTATTAAGGCAAAACTTCTCAATTTATAAATCCATTATTAAGAAAACCGTTTATTCCAAATTACATTTATTAAAAATCAGAGAATCATAGAAAACACGGAATCCTCAATGATGCTGATGAGTGTGTACAGTCTCCCCTTCGCCTTCCCATAGCCACCGATGATACTTGAAACAATAAACAAATGGGTAAGCATCAAGGTTAGTGAGTTTCCCCTAAAATGCCCCATACGATAATCATACAAGCATGGATCGGGACCATTGAGCCATCGGGCTAGAATACCCGGGGTTTGTTGGCCTACCGCCTCAACTAAACCACTCCTCTGAGCCTCCATGCCTTCGGTTTTAGCCGGCCCGCACCAGGTATCTTGGCCTACAACACAAAGCGGGACTGCCTCAACCCATCAATACCATATGTCGACATATAAACAATCAAGGATCAAGTAGGCATATAACACAGACAAACATCAATCAACTAGCTCACTACCACCTACTAGTCCTCTCATAGCATACAATCCCACTACCAACTAACCTCCGTGAAATGCATAACCATAAGTAGGCAGAGGTGAGATAGCCACCCAAACAAATGATCCTACTCTAGAACCACAACCAAACAAGGAACATGCAAGAAAGCCTAGATCAAGAGTTCTTAGGCTATACTACATGACCACAGACAGTCCCCAAGTATAGATAACATACAGATCCATCAGTCCACTTATAACATAGCAACATCCTATATACTAGGAGACCGATCTAACAGACCACTACAACACAAAAACATCCTATATAACAGGATACTGATCTAACAGATCACTAAAACATATCAACAAACTATGTATTGACAATCCAAGGAATGCATGACCGTATATATTCAGAGGTGAGATAGCCACCCAGATAGGTGGTCCTACTCTAGAACCACAACTAAACAAGGAACAAGTAAGAGATCCTAGACCAAGAGTCCTTAGTCTATCCTATTTGACTATACATAATCCGTAAGGCATCGTTCTACTGACGGATAACCAAAACTAGTGGGTCGAAATTGATGCCTTCGACCCACGATACAATGAGGCAAAACCACCTCACAATCTGAAGAATAGATGATCAATACTTTGCTCCCAAATATCGACTCAACCCAAATCCTAAATGTCAAAACATTATCCATTAATAATATTTTCCCCAAAACGGCCTTGGTCAAACTTGGTCAATGGTCAGAAGTCAAGTCAACACTTATCTAAGTCAACCCAATCAAGCCAACCCGACCGAGTCGACTCAATCGAGTACGTCGGGCATACTCTTCTGTACGCTGGGCATACTCTTCTGTACATGTGTCAGTTCAACCCTTTCCTCATTATGAGCTTAATACTCCAAATCTTCACGTCCAAAGTTAGATCTAAAGCCAAAATATCATCAAGAGTCATAAAGTTTCCAACTTTATGACTTTTCATGTCCATTAAGTGTTTAAAACACAAAATCTCAACATCTTAATGCTTTAAGACCTTCTATAGCATGCATGGAGCAAAACTAACCATCAAGGCCATATTTGTATGACTTAAGACCCCTCCTAAGTTCTGAACGGACGATTTAATGGGTCAAGAACATGCTATGATCAAGAATCACCATATTTTGGACAAAAAGTGTCTTAAAGGAAGGAATATCTAGATCTAAAAGATGGAGTGATCAAGTTGCAAACTTTATACCTCATGGAGGTTGCTAAGAAGAAGGAAATCCCATATACAAGATACTTCCAAGCTCCAAGCTCTTCTCACCACCTTATTTTCCTTCTTCAAGAACACCTCCAAAACACTCCAGTGGACTTAAAATGCACTCTTCTTACTTAGGGTTTGCTTGGGGTTGTTTTTCACCAAGGGAGGCTGATGCAGAAATGAGACATGAGGCTATAATGGGGTTTATATACGGGCCAAAACCTAAATATTAGGGTTTACACATTCTTCACGTAGGCCTAGTGTACACAATGTATGCTCGTCATACTACACTTGGACCAATTTACCATATTGCCACTAAGGGCCATTTTGAAATCCTTTTTTAATCCTAAAGGCTTAAATACAATATTATTCAAAAATAGGTGTGGAAACAATAAAATAATGATCGATAGATTCAAAACAGTTTAGTTAAATCAAACAACAAGAACAAAGATTGAATGTGATTGAAAGAGTGTCGAATGCTTGATCTGTAAGATACGTAGGGCTACCAAAACATTAACCCTAAACAATACATGCATGCACTATTTAAAGTATAGCCCTAGCACCATAATGACGGCTGGATAAGCCCAATATGATAATAATGAAGACTAAATACATGTATTATTAATTTGACACAACACAATAAATACCCCAACAATCTCCCCCTTTGTGTCAAATAAGGAAGGAAATACTTCATTGTTGTTGGCGATTCTAAACTCTGAAGAGTTTTAGAATCAGACCAAGTAAAGTGTTGCAAACTTGAATGTACCATTTGATCGTATTTGCAAAGGACTTCTTATCTGCATCAACATTTGCCTTGCATTGTCTAGTAATCCCCACGATGTAGTTCAGACAAGAAGTAGAATAGAGATGCTTGTCAGGTAAAGAAAATAAGCACTTCTAAACATTCGTACCATATCTAGCATTTTGCTGAAATGCCACACTCCAATTGTCATTTTGGATTCGTCCGAGTTTCATCTTGATGACATCGTTCAGAGCTTCTTTTGGTTACACTATGGGTTTCTTTCGGAGTACTGCCACAGTCTCCACATCTATTTTTACAACTTCTTGAATGTAGGAGACCAACATCCTTTTCAGATGTGCCACAATAGGTTTGAATTTCTCTTCATCTTTCGATAAAACATTGAACAAGGAAATCCAATCGTAACGATTATGGCACGGCAGATCATCGTAATGATTATGGCATGGCAGAACTGAGCATAAGAAAGCCTTTTGTTTCTATCGGACCAAATACCTTCACAACAGTAATCTTCTGCGAACTCCAAGTTTGATATTAGGGATTTCCATGCTTGAGATAAAAGGAGATAAGCATGGGATTGACATCGTTATCTGACTCATGAGCTTTCTCAACCTTATCAAAACATTGGAATGAAAAGTCCTTCAGAGTTATTGGAAATTTGAGATGAGACTCCAAAATGTTTTCCATTTCAATTGAAGCAATTGGTTCCAACCAGTAAATATTTGGATTGTCAACAACTTCGTTTAAAATACGCTCCATTGACCAACGAGGGAAGAGGGCCTCTGAGTTTTGAGTGTGACTTGAGCATCACGAGCCTCCCTTTCTTGAGCTTCAGCTTTTTTGGCAACTCACAGATTCTCATCAAGCTCTTGGTCACGTTTCTTTCTTTTAAGTTTAGCCCTTTCTGATAGATCTTCTTCTTCTTCATCCTCATCATCAACCAACTTGCCTTTTCCTTTCGATCCCAAAGCTTCATTACCCTTCGAATCAATTAATTTTGGCTTGTGTTTATACTCCCCAGATTCATCATCGGGTTTCTTAGTTTCTTCATCAGATGGCTTCTTAGATTCTCCCCCTTGTTTCGGAAAAGTGTCAGCTTTCGAAACACCCTCGATACGGTTGAGCATAGAGAATACTGGATGAAGAAAATTATCATAGAGAATTAGAGATGTTAATGGAAGAATAGGTCCAAACAAGAAAGAAACCAAAAGAAGAAGTAAAGATTACTAAGCCAAGAGCCTCATTTCCAATGATCTTTAAAGTCTTTTCCCTCACTACACCAAAAGTTAAAGACGAAGTGGTTTATGAAAGTAAAGAGATAAGTTCAAGTGATGAAGAGGATGATCAAGAAGGCAAGGAAGTAAAGCTTGATAGAATGGAGATAGACAATAAGGAGTTCGCAAAAAATAAAGTGAAGAGCTCAAATGATGAAAAATCCCAAGGAGTTAAAAGAAAGCATGAGGCGTGCGACCACCAAAAGAAAAATGAAAATCCAAATAAAGTATATATATAAGATGAGTTAAAGCTTATAAGAGGAGGTGGGAAGAGCAAAAGGAGAAGACGGAAATTCTACTCCCAATTAAATGCACCATAGAGCTGGAAAGAGTCCAACTCATGACTCATCAAAAAGAAACGCTTCTCAGATGGCAACCCAAGTGGGGGGATTTTAAAATGTGAGTGGTGAAAAAAATTTAAAAGGAAAAAAAATGAATGATTTTTGCATTTAATCAAACCCATGTCATGGGCTTATAACCCATGACGTGAGGAATCAAGGAAGACCGTTTTCGCATCAATAGAAAACTCACGACATGAGAATTACTTATCACGAGGTGAGAATAAATGGGGACCAACACTTACACGGTTATGAGCCATTTGACTTTGATTTTCTTAAAAAAATCACTTACGAACGAAAGTCACATTTTCTGGTCCCCACTTCAATTTTCTACAAACTTCATTTGATTTTATTTTTTTTCGTGTTCTAACTTCGACTAAGGTATGGTTCCCATGCTTTTAATTAATTAATTTTATTGATTTTGAAAATTTAGGAGTTAGGGTTCGTTCTTGGGTTTAATATGACATAATTGGTTCCATTTTTGAAAAATTGTCACATCATGTTTAATTTACTGCCTTAGAATTGATGCTAAAGCAAACCCCAATAGTTAATTTGGTGCGATTTTACCTAGAGTGATGCCTGATTTCATTTTGCTACCGAACCCAACTCACGACATGCACTTTAAGGCCCACGACGTGGGAATTGGGTAACCCAACGACTGTCTTTTCTGTTAAATATTTATGACTGTGGTTTTGTTTGCTGTTAATTTTGCACTACTATCGCTCCAAAAAAGTCTACTACATAGTTCCAAGGGGATGTATCAAGCCTACACCCATTTTATGAATGTCCAGATTATCTTCCACGAAATATGTTGAACAACTACCCAAAAAAGTTGGGAGGGCTCTATAATTGCGGTTTACATTCTCACGTCTTGAGCTTTATCACAACACCCCAATTTCGGAGTCTCCCAATCGTAGCCGTTCGCATTCTAAAGCTCTTTCGGAGTGAACACTCTTTCGCATCCTATCGCCTCTCACTATGATTTTCACTTTGGGTTCAATCCTCCTGTCGCAACGATTATTACTTTCACATCCAGTTGCATAATTTCCCACCTCAGTTCCGATGATGCTTTCACATTGGATCACATCCTGCTCTCCTTCCGTTTGCATCCGATCATAGCGATTCTTATTGGATCGCATCTTGCATCTGATCAGAACCAATGCTACAATTTAATAACTTCAGCCCTCCAAATTCCAACTTTTGTGTGGTTTTGGTCCTTTTTCTTCAAGAGTGTCTTTTTAGCTATGAAATAGAATTTAATCACTATAAGTACCAAATATCTTCATTTTTAACTAAAATGTAACATAAATGTATTAAAATAAAGCATAAATATATGAATAAATATGATAATATCAAAATACTCATACCTCAAAAACCATTGACTAGAATAAACTAAATGAAATAGGGATTTTGGAAAGATTACAATAACTAAAAAATGGTTTTTATCTGATTTTCAAGTTTAGATTAACTTAAACTAATCAATTAACTAAAAACAAATCAAACACTCAACTAAGAAACGATTGTAATGCAGATTAAGAAGACACTTCCGTTTAGCTTTGAATCCCTCTTTTTCCTATGGATAGTTTCTAAACATGGGTTTATTCAGTTGGTTACCAATATTAATATAATTAGCAGTCTTGATCTGATCTCCTAATCTTTTCACCAATTCATGAACTACTATGTAATGATCATACATAAGCAAACACATAATTTATTATTAAGGATAAGTGGGTTATGTAAGATATATCTAAGATAATTATCTATGATCAAGACAATTAATTTTATGAACAAACTATGTTCTCTAAAGCAACTAAAGTTGTTGCCTTTATCACTTAATCTAAGATTTGGTTAATCCTCGCTTTAACAATTTAATGATCACAAATTACTAGGGAGTCAAGTTCATGCAATTAAAATGGAGAAACAAAGATTAGAACTTTAACATGATAGGTAATGATAATCAAACACAATATTTAACAAACTTCATAAAATCCATATAAATCAAGAAACTAACACATAGATTACGGTTTATCTACACTAAATGGAAGCCTAATAATTTATCTACTAATGGAAGAAAATAAACACATAAATACAATAAAAAGTAAGCTAGACATTATTAATGTAAAGCAAACAAAGTTTGATGTGGAATCTTCAATGTCATAATCTTCAATAGTTCTCCTCTTCCAATAGTATATTATCACACTTCTTCAACCTCTAAAATCGATTATTTATCAAAAATATTCAATCCAACCTCCCTCAAGTAGAATATGTAAAGGATTATTTATAGTTTCCTTATAACGCTTCTCGGTTGTGAGAATTAGGGTCTCATGTTGTGAGATCAGTATAAATCCATGTCTGACAAGGAAACTTGCATTACGCATAGTTATCTTTTGGAATAATTAATCTTACGTCATGAGATTATAGTTCTCATGTTGTGATAACTGGGAATTAGCATTTGGCACAAAAACGAAATTCATCTGAAATTTTTTCTAGTTTCCGGAACTTTTGATTCTCGTTAATCGGAATTACGAGTCATGAGATACGACTAAAATACTGACGAGGGATCAAGTTGTCCAACAACATCCTTTTTATATCTTTTCAACTTCAGTCCTCTAACTTCCATATTTTGTTAAGATTTGGCCATTTTCTTCGAGAATGTCAAATTTAGCTACAAAATAAAATTTAAATATTATAAGTACCAAATATCTTCATTATTAGATAAAATGTAGCATAAACGTATTAAAATAAAATATAAATATATGAATAAATATGACAATATGACAACAATAACATGAATATATAGTTATTAAAATTCTATATGCAATAGATGTATTAGGAAAACAATTAACATTTTTTACAAAGTTTAGAATATTTGTCATTTTTTTCTTTAGGTAAATGATGAAGAATTAATTTTTATTCAACATATACATTGTTTCCATCATTATCTGATTGTTCATCTTGTTTAAGTGAAGTTTCAAGAGATTTACAACATGACTTTATGCTCATATCATCTGATAAATGGAATTTTCCAAAATTAAATAAAAACCCAAAAATATTATCATATTGTTGATATTGTTCAAACATTGTAGTTAGAGAATAAATTATTTGATCAACAATGTATAGAAAATATTTTACCCCAAAAGACTCTTGTAAGAATTTTGATACACTAGAAGACATTTGAAGTCTCATTGATATGTTTTTTATTTTAATTTCCGGTTTTTTAGGAAACATTGGTCTAATGTTCATTTCCAAAGAAATTTCTCATACAATTTGTAAAGCATTTAAAAACCCAATTTTTGTATATTCTTTAAAAGGAGAAATAAGTCTCTTTATTTTTTCCATATCAACATCAATAAGCATATATTTTGATTGCAATGGTTTGCTAACTAAAACTAATAGTATTTAACATTTCGTACCAAATTACAAGAGCCATTATAAATTCAAAGTTACCAAGTTCATTTCTGCTAATGAATTAGCTCACGTTTGATTTTTGGATCATTATCATTTTTAGCTACTTGAAATAAAGGTTTTTGAATATCTAACATTTGAAATCTTATTGCTTTTACACTATCGACACAACTCTCCCAACGAGTGGAGGACAAAGATCATTTCACATTATCTTTTAAAAATTGGCATCTTTTAGTTGACTTTGTAAAGATTGTATAAATGCGTCGTATGGTTCCAAAAAAAAAACCTTTAGCTTTACCACAAGTATTAGCCATATTACACAAAGTTAAGTTCAAAATGTGACGGCCACAAGAAGTGTAAAAAGCTCTTAGATTTATATAAAAGTTTTTTTTTGCACTCCTTGATGTTTTCCTTTCATATTTGACACATTGTCATAACCTTATCCACACACATTATTAACATCAATATCAACTAAATTCATTTCATTTTGTAAAACATCAAAACATCCTTGCCCGATTGTATCATTTACATCCAAAAACCCTAGAAAGGATTCTTCGATGCTAACAATACTCGATGATACATATACATATATTAAAACCAAGGCATTTGCTCTTGGTGGCTTATGTCAGGTGTACAATCAAGTATTATAGAAAAATATTTTCTTTTTTTAATAATCATAGATTTAAATTCATGAGAAAGCAAAAATATTAATTCATTTTGTATCATATGCCCAAGATAATGATTATGGATACCATCATATGTTATACATTGAACATGCTCATGAATAATCATGTTAAACTCAGCCAATAATTTGATTAACCCTAAGAAATTTTAATTGTTATTTTCATATAATTTTTCGTTAGTACCACGAAAAGCTAGATTATGTTTAGCAAAAAATTTCACAAAAGAAATAATTCTCAATAAAACTTCTCTATGCTTTTTTTCTTTTTCTATTAGTTTTTGAATCTCTTTACTAATAGTTTTTTTTGTAATCTTAAATGCAAATCATACTAAATATTTATATTTTTACATGTTTCATACTTGTTCCATGCTCTTTTAAGATGTATATAATCCCCAAAATCCTCATTTGCTAACTTATTTTTTCCACACCCTTTTTTTGAATATTTTACAACAAAAACAAAATATTTTATCAAGTTATTTAGAATAAAAAAGTCAATTTCTATCACATTTTCCTCATTTGGTAAACCTCTAGTATAATATAAAGCATAAATCTTCTTAAATGTTTATCTTTAGGATATTTTTTAATAGATAAATCTCTTTTAGGACCTTCTAATGCTAAAATAGTTATCATGTTAGAGTCTAGAGTCTCCAATTTGTTGGACCAAATATATCAAATGTATAAAATTTATTAGCATCATTAACATTAGCATCACCACTATTAGCTCCATTAACGGTAACATCATCAACATTAGCATCATTATTAATAGTTTGCTTTTGTTTTGTTTGTTTTATTATAAACTTATCCATAGGTCCTTCTTAAGCTTTAGTAGATTCTTTTATTTATTTATTTATTACATTTTTCTAATCTAAATTCATATTTTTTTATTCGATGAGGCATGCTAAAGTGTAAAAAAGAAGAGAAAACACCTTATTTAGATGTCTTCTTCCTATGTGATATGATAGATTTGTATTCTCACTTTTCAGTTTTTGGTTCTCAACAAATCAAATACAATGAATCTGTAAAAATAAAAATATATTATGAAAACAAATTATTAAAACCAAAGGGGTAAAAAGGATTATGAATATAGAATAGAAAAAGGTCAGAAAAGAGGGTAAAGTAATAACCTTGAGAGATTTCCAAATTTCTAAAAAACCAAAGAGATTTGGATATCTGTATTTTCTGAAAAAACAAAAAGAGCTATCAAGACCCTATCAAGAGAATAAAAACCAGATTTGTTAACTATCAAGAACTCAAGTTTAAGAGAGATATTCTAAAAACTATTCTGATTTTTTAAAGTACCTTTTTACTATGAATTTTTATTCTTGAATAGGAGTTGATCATTGAATTTTGATTCGAAGTGACCTGGTGCATATTCAAAAAACCAATTATGATTTTTGATGATGCTGAGTTTGTGAGAAAAATAGAGAAATAAATCCACCAGAATTCAGAGGAGAGAAATCAGAGAATGGAGAATGAAAACAAGAAAGAAGAAGAGGAGAAATATTTTTTGATTTTGAAAGTAATTATCAGACTCCTTGGGGTCATATTTTGAGATCGTTGTTGTAACATCCCCCTCCGGCATGTATCACAATATTGTCCGAATTAGGCTCCCAGCGCGAAAACTTCCCATGTGGTCACCCATCTATAAATTGTTCTTGCCCGGGCACGCTTAACTACAGAGTTCTTATGGGATTTGCTACCCTCACGGATTTAAAACGCATTGTGAAAGAGAAGGTATCCGCATCCCTTTTAAGGATTGTTTAGTTCTCCTTTCCAACCGATGTGGGATCAGGTGCAACCCACCTGGGTGTGGATACATTCTCTGTCACAATGCGTTTTTTAGGCCGTGAGGGCAACACATCCCCATAAGAACTCTGCAGTTAAGTGTGCTCATGTAGGAGTAGTACCCGGATGGGTGACCCCCTGGGAAGTCCTTGTGCTGAATGGCCCAAATCGGACAATATTATGATATGTGCCAGTAGGGGATGTGACAGTTGTAGGATATGAAAGGGCTTCCTAGATTTTTGCTATTATCGAGGGAATAAAAGGAGA